TCTCATTACCCCCATTTAGCTCTGAGTAGTCATATTTCCTAGGTTTCTTTGTCTGAAAGTGACTGATTTTTCAATTAGTGCAGGAAGTAATGTTTTGTAAATAAGTTACGTGCCTTCTGTTTCTTCAGGGCTTCAGTGAAGAGTAGAATTTTATGAAAAATCAATACGACAATATATATTTATATATAAAGACAGTGCAAAGCGATCCTTCAATTTTGTATTGACCATTTTCCTCAATAAATGATATGCTGAAGATGTCTGAAGAGGTCTGCAAGTACGAAAATTAAAGTCGCAAAATTTCCGGGGGGGTGGCCAATTTATCTAAATCCAAGGGGTTACCCTACGATAGCTCACAAGGGACACGCTGCAAACAAAAAAGAAATGCTGCAAACAAAAAAGAAATGCTGCAAACAAAAAAGAAAAGCTGCAAACAAAAAAGAAACGCTGCAAATATAAAAGAGATGCTGCAAACAAAAAAGAAACGCTGCAAACAAAATAGAAATGTTGCAAATAAAAAAAAGTACGCTGCAAACAAAAAACGAGCGCTGTAAATAAAAGATGTATGCTGCAAACAACAGAAACGCTGCAAACAAAAAACGAACGCTGCAAATAAAAAAGATCATCATGTGCGTGCACTCGGCTAAAGGGACTGGGCAAATTCGTCTCCAGACTCTCCAGAGCCTAAGATTCAAGTCAGCTTTTCCCTCGAATTTTGCTGTTCGCCATGTTTTGCTCGGGTTGTGGCTCACGATTACTCACTGCGGCGAAATTTTGTCATGGTTGCGGGTTAACTGTAGGAGTAAAAGATGACGATTCTTTGTGTGTTGCTGAATTAGAAATGGACTCTTCAGAAAGAAAGTGACATCAAAGTACTCCAGTCACCTTCGAGGAATATAGAGAAAGAAAAGGAAAGGAACGAGGCTTGCGGTTTGTTAGTAGGAAGTCTCTGAAGAAAGCGAAAAAGGAAAACAGCGAGAGTGAGATCACCATACATAGTGGTCTTATAAGGTTAAAAGATGGAGAGCTGAAAGTAATCCGCGGGTCAACATTGCCGCTTAAAGTGTTGCCATCGATTAGTGCTGAGGAGCTTCTTCGGAAAGGAACCGAGAAGATTGTGAAGTTCAACAGCGATTTAAGCTTATATGG